TTAAAAAAAAAAAAAAAAGCACTGTGCTTTTCCTTGCTCCATAGGGAAGGCTGTGGGTGAGTGGAGCCATCTACCGTGTAGGGTCACGTCCATGTCCAGGGACTTCTCTTGCCTAAGGACCATACTAGACACCACCTCTCCACAGTGTTTCCAGATCGCGCAGCCAAATGCTCTTGTCCCTTTGGGAACTCCCCTAGCCCTCAGATCTTTTTTTTCCTATGTGGCCCTTGCCACAGCAGGGAACCTTGGACTGTGTCAGGCTCCCATCCCCCAGGCTGACTACTACTTAATGATGTTGACTCCTTCCCCTTTATTTATAAATATATATTTAAGAAAAAATATCAAATTAAAAAAAATCATTCACAAAATGGTTGGGTCGGTTTTGGTACATGCAAGTCTGTCTATTCTTTCCTTTTTTCTAAAACTGTTTCTGAAAGCATTCATTACATGGAGACTGTCTTTGAGAACGGGCCACCGCAAGGCCAGGCTACCCATTACCTTAACCTCGGAGGAAGACAGGAGTCTCTGAGACTGAACCAGGTACAGCCAGGGCCCCTTCCGCCTGATTGTGCCAGGTTCTATAAAAGCAGAACTGTCCCCTCCTTTCTCCCTGCTCCTCTAGCTGGGATGGGGGCAGCTTGGCTGGGTTCAGAGTAGGCACCCAGCCCTGTGGGCCCCTCCACAGGGAATGGGGTCCTGCATATCAGCTACAGCGCTGAACAAGATGGAGGAGTCTGGTCTTCCCCAGGCCTGGCAGAACGTAAGGCTTCAAGGCCCCCTTTCATTGCTTTCAGCTTTTTCTTCCCCTTTTTCCTTCCTAGGGGGTTGGCTGGATAAGGGTTGGGATGAGGAAGCAACCCAGTGGAAGGCTGTCAGGTTGGGCGTAAGAGTCTGTCATCATGGAAGTGTTGGTTCTTCTATAACTAAGAGCCAGAGATTGAAGCAGCGGTACAAATACTACCCCCAAATCAGTAGTTATCATATTCTGCCTTCTATTCTCTTTATCTTTGTTTACCTTCTACTCCAGTCTCAATCCTAAGGCACTTGAAGACTGGGACTTTGTGTCTTTCCTTTGTGGTTCCTGCCAAGGCCTGCCGCAGGGAGCTTGGCACACGGTAGGAGCTTCGTAAATATTTGTGAATTAAGTTGTTGGCAAAGCTTTTGATTTCTCTGCTTTGAAAGATGCTGAAATGAATATGAATCTATTTAACCTGGAATGTGTACTTTTCAAAGTACTTTTCAGAAAGTGCAGGTTGGCGAATGGGGAGCAGAGCTGAAATCTCATTTACACCTAGTCTGGAATCTGCAAAAGGTGTATATGCTTGAATCTGCAACCAATTTTGAAACTCTTCCATTCCTCCACAGCTGGAAAGGTTTTGTGGCGACTCTGCAGATACCCAACTGTTCAGAGAGGGAGGCAGAAGGAAGAACAAGTCATGAACATTAGTTCTCACACCTTCTTAGTATCCATCTGTGTATTCAACAAACATACGAGTGCTTCCTCCGTGCTAGGCACTGTTCTAGGCCCTGAGCACACAGCAAACAAAAAAGATAGAAATGTCTGCCCTTGTGGAGCCTATACCCTAGTAGATGGAAGGGGAGAAGACAGACAACACGAAATACATGAAATATATACATCATGTCTTTTGGAAAGTGCAATGGAGAAAAATAAAGCTGCAAAAAGGATGAAGCAATGAAGTTTAAAACAGCAATGCTTAAGAAAGGCCTCCCCAAGAAGGTGACTTTAGAGCAAGTGCCTGCTGGGAATGAGGGAGCCAGCCAGATATCTGGGGACACCAGGCCAGGCAGGGGGACTGTACAAAGACCTGGAGGAAAGGACGAACCTGGCATGGTTCAGGAGCAGCAAGAAGACCCGTGACTGGAGCTGAGGGAATGAGGGGGAAAGAAATAGGTAAGAATTGCTTCCACACTTATTCATAGGAATAAAACCTCACAGAAATAAAATTCCAGGCAAAGAATGCGAGAGGAGAAGGAGGAAGGGATTTAAAAAGAGACTGTGCTTCTGAGCGAAGCTGGATTGGTATAGAATTTCCCTTGGAATCTGGGTGGGGTTCTTCTTATGACATCTGGGGTCTACATGCCTCGGACATGTCAACAAGCAAAAAAAAAAAAAAAAATCAAACCCCCAAAGTATTAACAACTTGGGGCATTACTGCTCAATGGGAGGATTTTGTCTTTGTCCCACATCATCTCCACACATATTATTTACAATTCCTATAATTTCACTTTCTTTTTTTTATTTTTCTAAAAAGAGTTTATTTATTTATTTGTCAGAGAGAGAGAGAGAGAGCGTGAGCACCAGCAAGCACAAGCAAGGGAAGCGGCAGGCAGAGGGAGAAGCAGGCTCCCCACGGAGCAGGGAGCCCGATGCGGGACTCGATCCCAGGACCCTGGGATCGTGACCTGAGCCAAAGGCAGGCGCTTAATGGACTGAGCCACCCAGGCATCCCTAATGTCACTTTCTTACCAAAATATAACCTCATAAAAATCTGCATTGTCTGGAGTTTATAAGAGGGAAATAGAAACATGGTCTGTTGACAATACTGTCCAAGTACAGTGTAATGTCCTTTTTGCCAACCTCGATCTCAATCCAGTTCCTGATTTCAGAGCAGTTTGTCTGCACCAGCCAGCCCTGACTTCAAAGGCTGCTCTGCCCCCGAAGGCTGGCCTCCATCTGCCGGTCATCTGCTCGTCTCCCCTCGCCCAGCTGCAGCGTGGCTCTTCTCCAGGGGCATCATGGTCCCGTCCCCTTGGTTTGCCATGGGCCCACTTACCCATCTGCTGTGTCCACAAGCACAAGTCACGCTTGCTCCCGAGTTGGGTTTCCAAAATGCTACCTCAGCCGTGATGGGAAGTTGGCTGACAGATGTGAAGTCAGTAACTTAGAACAGAGAAGAGAGGGGAAGGTCCACGGTACCCTTTCTCTCTTGGTACATTAGTCCTTAGGATGCTTTCTATCCTATCAATATGTAGCCCCGATGATCAGATTTCTAGTATGATTATGCAGGTTGAATCATTTGAAGAAACCTATCTCTGACCATTTTTTATTTCATACAATTCAGTTTAAGCTTTTGATACTCTCTTCTTACTCCAGTAATTATGAAATTAGATTTTTCTCTCCCTTTTCATGAACAGATTATCAGTATCAACTCACTTAGGGAGTTTTTAGGGAGTCCTCACAAAGGACATTTGCTGCCCTGTCCCAGCAGCCTCTCATAGACATTGCTGAAAAGCCTGAACAACACAACCAAATAGCCCTTAGACCAGAGGCAGTGGTTACTGCACATTCTAAATTATGTCCCCTTTAACCTGTAGATGACCTGGTTGGACCATTTTTACAAAAGACTGTGAAAAATCACTGGATCATAAAATAATTGACCAAGGGTTTACAGATATTCATCCACGGGGCAATTTATATTTATTGGGTATCTGTGATGTACAAGGAGTTGTGAGACAATGTCAGGAACAGTAAAATAAATCAGATACCAGTTCTGTCGTCCAGGAAGTGATAGTATTATTGGAGAACTAAAGCATATAACATAAATAAATACAATGCATAAATAAATACCCCTTTGAGGTAGGGTCTTTTTTTTTTTTTTTAAAGATTTTATTTATTTATTTGAGAGAGAGAGAGAGAAACAGCATGAGAGGGGAGAAGGTCAGAGGGAGAAGCAGCCTCCCCGCTGAGCCGGGAGCCCGATGTGGGACTCGATCCCAGGACTCCAGGATCATGACCTGAGCCGAAGGCAGTTGCTTAACCAGCTGAGCCACCCAGGCGCCCGAGGTAGGTCTTATAATTCCCATCTCACAGACAAAAGTAGGTGCAGAGAGGTTAAGAAAATTGCCTAACATCATCCCTAGAATCCATAAGTGGAGGAGCCAGGAATCACACTCTTGATCTCTCGAATGTGAAGTCTCTCCACCTTATGTGACCCAACTGGCCCTAATGTAGGGGCACTTCCCCAACCCAGATTCTGTTCCAGTCTTCTCCTCGCCCGGTTGTTCCTGCTCTCTCCCGCCCCCTTGTGTCACAATGACTCATTGTCCCTGATTTCCCAGTCCCTGGGGGCCCAGGCTCCAGATCTTCCAAGTGGCTGCGCATCCTGATTGGATAACCAGGTCATCACAATTCTGATTATTATACA